TTAAATTTATTTTTTGTTCTCTAATTTTTTATATTAAATTAGTTTATAAAAAATTATAATATATTAATGTTGGTTTTTTTTTAACTCCGCTGGTAATTATGTCTTACGTAACAAATAGAAATACACGTAATAAATGAAAAGCTTTTCAATCTCTCAAAACATTTTCTATTTCTCTATTGGTTCTCCATTTTTTTTAATTCTTAAGATATGTTAGTTTCATTTTTTTAAAATTTGTTTCTTAAAATATTGGATAATAAATATAATTAGATTATTTTAATATTTAATATCAATAATAAATATTACCAAAAATATGTTCCACTAGTAGATGATTTTCAATGTGACAATAACTCACGAATATACATATATATATATATATATATATATATATTTACTATCTAACCTAAAGGACGAAATTAACATTTTTTAAAGATCAGACTCAACTTATTCTATTTTTAAAATAACTAATTTAATAACAAGATTTAGAGGTTCAAATGTAAATTTAATTTTTTTAAAAAAAGACTAAAAAAAGTTTTGATTTGTCACATAAATTTTTGTTTGACATATAAAATATCATCATTAATAACGATTAAAATAAATAAACTATAATATATCATAATTTTAAAGGAACTAATTTAATAAAAAAAAGTGAAAGATGAAAAGCAAATTTGAAGAATTTTAAAAAGATTAAAAGTATTTTTATTTTTTTTTTACTTTTTCATTTATTTACAATCGATTATTCTTATATTTCAATTTCATAATTATTTTTTTTCTGACTTTTAACTATCGCTTTTGACTTTTGAGTGCCATTTTTCCTGGTGAATACTCTGCCCTCATTTGTCAACGTGTTTGGTATTACGGACATCCAGGTTGAAAACCACGTCAAAATTTTAAAGCTACAAAGAAAAAGTAGAAGCAAGACATATTAACTTCAATGTGGATGCACGCGTTATGATTTTTTTATTTTTTAAAATCTACCTTCAAAACCTTTCCAATTGTGGTCTTGTTACGCTTTTATGGTAATATTGTTTTTCAGCATATAAATTTGTTCAAATTCAAATTCTATGTCAAACAGTCTATGTCTTGACTTCTTCAGAGACATTTTTTCTTTTAATTATTTTGGGAGTGTCTATATTTAACAGCAAACCTAAAACACAAATTCTTTTATCATTGTTGATAAAATAAAATATAAACTTGCAATGTGAAAAGGGATCCTTTTCTCTTATATGAGACTTGTGTTACTTGTAAAATCTATCATTTAAAGCATGCTAATTTATATTTTTCAAGTTTATAAATGAACCCTATCCTTACTTAAGCTGATTGAGTTTTGGTTCTAAAATTTTATATGGTCTAGATCTATCTACTCTTCTAAACTTAATATTGTACCTCGACATATTATTTGCTTTGACTTAGATGAAAGTAGTTTTGGTGTCAGATCCTTTTTAGATATCAATAATACATACATGTTAAAACTATGTTAAAATTTTGTTAAAAAAATAGTGATTCGACATCTATTTTAGTCAATAGAGTTTATAAGAGAAGTGGTGATGTTTTTATTATTTGGCATCCTCTATTTGGACTAGTATTAGAGATATGTATCCAATTGTTAAGGATCCTTTTACTTGACTAATTGGAAGTGGTAAGAAGGTTAATTTCTGGACATATAGGTGACTTTCAATGCTTATTGTTGATATTCTTAATATTGATGTCTCCTTGCATTCCAAGTTGACATCCACCGTTGATTGTTTCATTCAAAACGAATGTTGACATCTTCCTCCCTTTCTTCAAAGTAGGATTGGTGACTAAATCTCTAGCATTGTTCTTCCCTCTTATAAGTATGAAGACTCTTTAAAGTGGTTTCTCTCTTCTGATGAAGATCTACCTTTTAAAAAGGCTTTCTCTTTTATTAAGCAACCTAAGCCTAAATTCAATTTGGCTAAACAGATCTGGAACCATCATCTCCCCCTTCCAAATCTTTTGTTCTATGGAGACTTCAACATGATAAGCTTCCCTCTGAGGATATTCTTCATAGAAAAGGAGTTGTTATTACCTCTATATGCTCACACTGCTATAATGCTTATGAAACTACTGCTCGTTTATTTTTTGAATGTCCTTTTACCTTAAATCTTTGGGATTGGTTATCTCAGGTTGTTGATAATAGATTGAATATTGACAATGTTTTGGATATACTTAACAAACAATGGAGCAAATTAGCTAATTTTGTATTTTGTTGTTACTTTTATTGTCGCTGAAATCTGACATAGTAGAAATCAAATAAAATTTAAAAATTCTAATACAAAAATTGATTTCCTAAAGAGTAAGATTTTAAATTTAGTTAAATTTTGTTGCTCTTTTATTCCTTTTTCTATGAAATCTAATATTGCGAAATTTAATATTTTGAAAGCTTTCGTGTTACCTTGTAGGTCGAGGAAAGCAGATTCTATTATTGAAGTTCAATGAAATTCTCCTTCTCTTGGTTGGATTAACTGTAATACAGATGAAGTTTTTTCTGCACATCGCTCTTTGGCTACTTGTGGGATTATCTTCGGTGATAGATATGTTAATTTGCTTGATTGTTTAGTGGAGTCGGTTGTTGTCAAGTCAGTTTTGGAAGCAAAAGTTTTGGCAGTCATTTGTGCAGTTTAGCTTGCTCGTGGTTGTGGCTGGATGTCTCTTTGGTTGGAGTCAGACTCTTTGCTTGTCATCAAGGCATTCTATGATCTTTCTTTAGTACCTTGGTGTCAGTGTTCAGTGGTTGAATATGCTTAATTTTATTAGAAATATGAGATTTAGATTATCTCACGTGTATAGGGAGGGTAATGGTTGTGCTGATAGTTATTGATGTTTGATCTTAGGCATTTTGGTTCTTTTTGGTGGTTTGTCATTCCTCATTGTATTATGTCTTTTTACTCTAGGGAGAGATGTGGTCTTCCACACTTTAGTTGTCATAATTTAAATTGCAGATACTTTTACACTTGTTTTTTTTAATATCTCTTTAGTGTTATATAATCTTTTTGATATGTTGCAAATGATTGTTGTCGGATGAGGTGCTATAAATGATTGTTGTGAGATGAGGTATTAACTAAATTAAGATCTCTTTCTTGCATTATGATGTTTTATTATATCTATCTTTTATAAAGTAAAAATCATCCTTCTTTAAGTAGTAAGCAAATAAGACATTATAGAAATTAACTGCACTCCAAGACAAACTTTAAGTTTCTTTGATTAATATTTAAAAATTAGTTTCGGCTCATGAAAAGAAAATAAAAAAATTTGTTTATTTAGGGTGAGTGTGTGCGTTTTTTTGTTTTTTTTAGATGGAGAAGATATTTAGGATTTACTTTTTAGTTTTTACGATCTACTAAGTATATACAATATTTTTTTAAAAAGAAAATTTGAGAGGGTAGAATTGATATAAGATGTGCAATTTAAAGAAGATGTGGAATCGTGTTCTTAAAAGGAAAATAAGAAGAATTTAAAGAAATTGTTGAAAATACGATCTCACCTTTTCCACTGTTATGTTTTGGTTGGTATGTGGTGCTTGTGATTCATCTTTCTTCATGAGAAACAAGCCCAGTTCAACATACCCTACTTTCGCCTCATACTTGGCCATGCTCAACCTTAACCCTCCTTGCCCAATTCAAATTACAACTTTGAAACGAGTTCGGCCTCACCTGAAATTCTTATAAGCAATTTAGTCAGGTGAAATAAACACCTTTTTTTTTCCTTGAGCCGAAATTAACGTAAATCTAAGTAGAATTAATTTTAGAGTAAATAGATTTTTCTTTATATATATATATATATATATATATATATATATATATATTTAAAATTAGAACAAGATCCGGAACCCAACATACTCACTATAGAGTCGAGGGACAACTCACCCTCCTCTTTCACTGGAGCCTACAGTTGGGTACCCTAACACGTGAGTTATCCATTTTTATGCGACTTTTGTTATTGATGGATAATATAAACAACTCAATGGCAATTTGTTGTTCCTTTTTATTTTTTGAACGTGACACTGCTATCGGTGCTCCACCCGTATTAATGGCAATTACATAGGTGGCCCAATTTTATTTAAATATGCTTGGATCAAAACAACATGCTTTTATTCTACTTTATGTTTAGTCTTGATTCAACTCTTCGTAAAATAATTTTATATTGTTATTTTAGGGTGTATTGTGACATATCAGAACAATTATCAGCAAAATTTTCACTTTTGATCCATCACCATATGGGTACCAAGAATTGAATGCATGAGGCTGAAATAGTCCATGAGCATGGTAAACCAGAATTCAAATTTTATAGTTTTGGGTAATTTTTTTTTGCTGTTTTTCAAATTTAAGGTAACTTATTAACTTTTATTTTTATAAAATAAATCCTTAATTAACCAAGGGGCCAGGGCCACTGTTCCTCGTTGCACTAATTATTTTATGCACATGCAGTGCTCAATTCTTGAAAACAACTGTAATGGAATCACATAACGGTTAACATGATTACCCAGCCAAAGGTCCACCCATAGAATTCAAATCAAAAGGAAGATGAAACCAAAAAAAAGAGGATAAAGCGTTCGATTTTCAAATCAAAAGGTAAAACAACAACGTTAAACTTACATTTTGTTTTCCACAGTCAACATTTACATTTTTCTTACGTGGGAAAAAAGAAGAGGGAGAAGATAATATTATACTAGTATATATATTAGTTTTTAATTGTGAATTTTAGAATATTGTGTAAATTATATTTATAAAAAGAAATTGTTTTGTCTATACAAAGAAAGCGTTATCCATCTACATGTTAAAATGTTGAACAGACTGAACAACTTAGGAATGATATTGTTGGTAATGGTAATTAGCAAGATTATTATGGAAAACAAAAAGCAAAAGTTAGTTGTTTAAAACGGGCCAGTTTGATTGGTTATGAGTTATGATAGAAAAAGTGGTTGTGGGCCGGTGGCCCCATCCCAGCGGAGTGGAGTTCAAAACCAGAAAGCCCATATTAAAAAGAAAGCATTTTGGCATTTGAATCGGAGAAAGCGTGAGTGTGGTGGAGATTGAGATAAAGAGAAATGGTGGGAACTTCCTTAGCAGGGTTGCAAGAACATCTCAAGTTAGCCAGAGATTACGCCCTAGAAGGTCTCTACGACACCTCAATCATCTTCTTCGACGGCGCCCTCGCCCAGATCAACAAGTAAGAACTTGTTTTGTTTCATCAATTTCCCCAAATCACGAAATTCTCATTGTCTCTGATTCATCCATTTGTTTTCACTCTTCAGGCACCTAAGCACAGTTGAAGACCCTCTACTTCGCGCCAAATGGACCAACGTCAAGAAAGCGCTTTCCGAGGAAACGGAAGTTGTGAAGCAGCTAGATGCGGAGAGAAGGGCTTTCAAGGAAAACCCAATTGGAAGGCGCGCTGCTTCGCCTCCCATTAACGCAAAGTCTTCGTCTTTCGTTTTTCAGCCGTTGGATGAGTACCCCACTTCATCAAGCGCCGCTGCCGTCGATGATCCCGACGTGTGGCGCCCGCCCAGCAGGGACATCGCCAGCAGGAGGCCCGCCAGGTCCGCCGCGGTGGCTGCTCGGAAATCGCCGCAAGATGGGGCGTGGGCGCGTGGTGCTACCGGAAGAACCGCTGCTACTGGGCGTGGTGGTGCAAGGGGTGGTGGTGCCGCCAGTAGGGCTAACTCCGGGACTCGGAATTCGGCTACCGGAAAGAAAGGGGGTGCTTCTGGAAAGTCTAGCAAGACGGATGCAGCAGCTGTAACTGTAAGTTTTCATTTTGTCTTCAATGTGGGTGCCTGTCTTGGTGTTGGACAACATTATGTTGTTGGTTGGAATCTGGGGATGTTGTTTGTATGGATCATTAATTTGGTTGGTGGACGGTGGACTCAACTAAACTTTGAGTTGTTTGCTTTATCTTATAACGCTTTAATTGACTAGGTTGTTGTTACCATCCTTAGGGTGTGTTTGGATGAGCCTTTGTAAAATTAATTTGGTTTGTGTTTGGAATTAGTAGTAAACTTTTGATTCAATAGAAAGGCCTGATTGGATAAACTTATCTAGAAGCAATTTTAGGAAAAATAAAAATAGTAAGTAAAATCAAAATCAAAACAAGTTTTTCCATAAGCTAAACCAAGCTTATGCACAAGTTAAAAATAAGATTTTGGAAAAGCTAATAAGAGAGAGCTTAGCTTCCACAAGTTAGCTTATGGAGAAACTTAGTTTACTTTTCCTTCCTATTTTTCTCTCTTAGAAGTGTTTTTTGGAAAAGTTTACCCAAACAAGTCATATCTGAGGTTTATTCAGCTAAAAAATCGATTTTGAAGCCTGAATTGATTCTTCAATGTGGAACCAAACATGTGGACATTTTATCTAGAATCACACTAGCTGGTATTTCATCATAATTCTCAATCACTCAACCTGAATCCAAACACACAATTAGGCTGTGTAGATCCATATTTGGATGGCCTTAACATGAGTCTAGGATTGGTCAAACATGATTTTTCCATTGACCATGATGTTTGACATTGTGTTGAAAATATGATTCCAAGTTAAAGACTCAAGTCTTACCATAGTAGCTATTAGAAGTAATTTTTGCATCAACACTAACTTGAGTAATGTTATTTGTTTCATGTATACCATTAGCCATGTTATTTGTTCCATGTAAACTCTTAGTTAGACTCTGGTCATTTTAGTAATTACACATCCAAAATCAATTTTGATCAAAAGTTTTTTTTTTTCTTTCAAATAACATTGCATCAAAATCAATTTTTCTTATATCTGTTCTCCAGACAAAAACCATGTTACTACAAACTAACAATTACTTATAATCAATTCAAAAATAATTATCTTTATTCAAAATCAAGCTTAGAAACACATCCAAACATACATTTAGCCGGTTGCATCCAAGTGTTCATTTTGTATTAGATCCATGGCTGATGTGTAGTACCTCTGATTATCAATTTGCCCTTTGCTTATTACATCCCTTAGTTGATAGTTTGAGAAACGTTTAACTTCTTATATTGTGTCCTCACAATTGCTCATGGAATGGACAGAATAGTGATGCTGAAGATGGTAAGTCAAAGAAGGGTCAATATGAAGGTCCTGATCCTGAATTGGCTGCAATGCTTGAAAGAGATGTGTTAGAAACCTCTCCTGGAGTGAGATGGGATGATGTTGCTGGGCTAACTGAAGCAAAAAGGCTTCTAGAAGAAGCTGTTGTGCTTCCATTGTGGATGCCTGAATATTTCCAGGTAATCTTGAATAAGTTTCTCTCTGAATTCTCTTAAAACTAGTTTACCTAATGTTTACAATCAAGTTATATTCAATAGTCATGGTTTATTTTATAACTAATAATTTGGAAGTGATGTGTATATGATACTCTCTACTTGTTGTCATGGTAGTTAATTTTAGATCTTGTTTGGCAGAACTACTTTTTACACAACTCTGCATTTATTTTTGCAGCTATGCCCTGTTTTTGAAATTATTTTTGTAAAATAAGCTCATGTTTCTCCTGTTAAGTCAAGCTCATACAACATGTTAAAATTTTTATTAGGACATTGCTTGCTTGATTAGCCTATTATTTTAAGCAAGCTCTTACCATATCAACACATTTGAATTTCAGTGAATCAATCGTCTTTGTGAATGTTGAAACTCAGAGCTCATTATTTTTGTTCATGCAGGGAATCAGGAGACCATGGAAAGGTGTCCTCATGTTTGGTCCTCCAGGAACTGGGAAGACACTTCTTGCTAAAGCAGTTGCTACTGAATGTGGCACCACTTTCTTTAATGTATCTTCTGCAACTTTAGCTTCTAAATGGCGTGGGGAGAGTGAGCGCATGGTGCGGTGTTTGTTTGATCTTGCAAGAGCGTATGCACCAAGCACAATATTCATTGATGAAATTGATTCTCTATGCAATGCTAGGGGGTAAGCCTTTGTTTTTATTTCATACATCCATTAGATGTAATAGAATTTGAAACATGTTTATGTTTCCACAAAAATAATCTTCATATATTTCTTTGTTTATATTGATTGTACATGTTCCTAGTTGGTGTTGGGTCCAGTTTTAAATATTATTATCTCTTGTAGTTGTTGAGATCTGATTGAATTTATTTTTACTTTGTCAGGGCATCCGGGGAGCATGAATCATCCAGAAGGGTGAAGTCGGAACTTCTAGTTCAGGTTGATGGTGTAAGCAATAGTGCCACAAATGAAGATGGTAGCCGTAAAATAGTCATGGTTCTGGCTGCTACTAACTTCCCATGGGATATAGATGAGGCACTAAGGTTTGTATTTGTTTTTCTGCATTCTTTTCTCGACAATTAAGTTAAAAGTGATAAAAATGTAGACTAGATATCTGTGTTTTAGATATCTTTTAATGTACTAGATTACACTTTCTGATTCAATTTGATGTTAATGCAATGCAGGCGAAGGCTGGAAAAGCGTATATATATTCCTCTTCCAAATTTTGAGAGTCGTAAAGAGCTGATCCGGATAAACTTGAAGACTGTTGAGGCAAGTTGTGGTGTTAATTAATGTGTTGGTCATATAGGATCTTGATTTAACCTTAATTTTTTCTTTTGTGAATAACATTAGTCATTAGGATTTATGTGTTTATATTATTAACAAAAATAAAAAAGTTAAGTTGTCAATACAAATAATATTGTGTTGTGATGTGAATGTCTTTTTTACTGGAGATGTTTATTGGTCACCAAACTTGCTGTAAGAACAGTTTATGGAGAAAGGGCAGCAATATGAGGATAACAAAACATGGATTATTATTTATTTATGCTAATATGGTAGTCGTCTGTCACCAGGTGGCCCCTGATGTGAATATAGATGAAGTGGCTCGCCGGACAGAAGGCTACAGTGGAGATGATTTGACAAATGTCTGTCGCGATGCTTCCTTGAATGGTATGAGGCGGAAGATAGCAGGAAAGACTCGCGATGAAATCAAGAACATGTCCAAGGACGAGATCTCAAAGGACCCTGTTGCCATGTGTGATTTTGAAGAAGCTTTGGTAAAGGTCCAACGAAGTGTTTCTCAGGCTGACATTGAACGCCACGAGAAATGGTTTACTGAGTTTGGATCAGCATAAAGAACGACCTTTTTGTTTTTCTCCAATGGCTGGCTGTTGTTTGTTGATATTTCATTCGTGTTCTGACGGGATTCATTGTAGTTCTGTGATGTTGGAGGGATCTTCAATTGTTAATTCGTGTATCTGCGACTATTGAATATTCATGTAATTTAGTCTGACTTGAGTTCAAAGCACTGGACATTATTATCTCTTAATATACGAAACCTGAAATATTTAACTTCCAACTTGTGTGAATGTGCATGCAACTTCTGCTATTATATAAATCAGTCTCCAAGCAAAGAAAACATTGAATACTTCTTGTTAATACGAGAGTTTGGAATATTAAAACTAATGCGGGTTATAGTTTGCCAAAAGTTTGCCTTATGAAAATAGGATCAGAATTTATCTCCGTTTTGCAAATATTTTCAGTCCGATTGTCGGATATTAATTTCTTTTGATACCCAAATGAGTTTTGCTTTTCTTAACAAAATCTACCTTATACATGATAAAAAGTGAACCCCTAACATTAAAAAATCTAGTTACCAACTAAGCTGAACACTGGTGGGCAAAAAATGTTTTTGTGCAAAGTCTAGTGGTGAAATATGTATCAAACATTCCCAAAGATATCCTGATATTTACGTCAAACCTGGTATATCTGAAGTACTAAAAGTCAGAAGGATTTTATTAGACGAGAAGAGGAGAATATGCCCTGATTTGTGTTTTGTCTTTTCTTTTAAGTCTACCAATGGCGGGGCATTAAGGTTGCTTGATTGTGTCGGCATGTAACGGCAATCTCAACACGTTCTTCTGTGAGGAAATCGAAAAGGCAGGGTTATATGACTGTCTTTTCTTGGCAAAAAGCCGAAAGCCATATACTTTTGATAGACTAATAGCAATTCATTAAAAAAAAAAAGTAACAATTAAAAGGAAGGTATATTTTTATTGTTTGATTTGTATATGACATTTTATTTATCGTTATTAACACATTTGCCACTATTTTTGTCAATTTTCTACCGCTTCAAGAGTCGATGGGAATTGATAATTAGAAATGGAAATGGAATTGATAAAGTTACAAAGAAGGTTGTCTATATATATATATCGCAGCAAAGAAGCTTATTACACCTTGGATTCAACAAGGTTTCATAGGTTATACCGCATATACTATTTAACAAAACTAATTTCCCTCTTTTCTTCACAATGGGAATGTTGAGATGGACAATGTTCGCCCTAGTTTCTTTGTATCCCCTCTTCACTTGTGAAGTCTCTGCTACTTCCACACAGTTAATTTCAAACTCAACACAAGGTATAGTGAAGTTCCTTCTATTTATTGATCTATCTATCTATAATTTCTCTATGGATCATTGTTTTGATTAATATATATTTTGTAGCTGACATGTGATATGATGGTGCAGATGACATTATTAATATATGTAGTATTGTGTATTGTGGGAAAGGAACATGCCACCCTTCTTCCACTGAACCGTTGGGTTTCAGATGCGATTGTGAATCTGGTTGGAAGAAGCCTAACATTGGTTCTTTTCAATTCCCAACATGCATTTTTCCTAACTGTGAGTCACTCATACATCAACTTATGTTCCCACCCTATATGTAGGAAATAATTATAAATGAAACCAATTAAAAAAAAATAGAAAAGTGCTTTTATACACTATAAAATTGCAATAATTTTTTTTTAACAATGTAACTCTATGAAAAGAAATTTTATTTGTACAATACTGCATATATAGCTTTTTGTATATATTTTTTTGGTTACTGTACCCTCTGGATCTTCAATTTTCCGAGCTGACCGATCAATGACTCTATGCATCACTAACGCTCGAGTCAAGAGGGCTGTGTACCCTCTGGATCTTCAATTTTCCGATCTGACCGATCAATGTCTCTTCGCCTCGTTAACACGTAAGCCAGGAGGGTTGTGTACCCTCCTGGTCTCCAATTTTTCAAGCAGGCCGAACAGAACATACCTTCCTAGTCCCCATCCAACCGAACAACCTGAACTTTAGGCTAGTCATAGGTGTATTGACGAGTGAGTTCCGGTAAAACTAATCAAGGTTGTGATTTCCGTGATTATTGCTTAGATTTAATTACGATCATAAATGTGGTTCATAGACTCATTACATGGATCCGTGCGCATTTAAGAAGATGAGGATCAAAGATCCGTATCACATATATGGGACCCATATAAATAGGTCAGGACGGCGGCTAGATTTTCTTAGGGTTCACATCACTAAGGATTCTCTGGCTGCTACCCCCTTACTGGAACAGTTACAATTTTTGTATATACTTTACAATTAGAAGAAAGATAAGAAAATCCAAAGTGTAAGATAAATTATGGGTAACGTGATCGAAAAGATAAAGAACTATGTTGTAAAAAAATGTGTAAGAATAATACTATTCTTAAGGTGAATGCCTAAAACTGACATCAAAATATGTGGAATAACACAGAGAGGTGATATTTAATGTTAATTATATTAAAACGAGATTGAAGAGTTTTTAATTTGATTCATTGAAAGGAAAGGATGCTGAGATAAATATTGCAGGTACCATTGATTTAAATTGTGGTAACGGATCTCCGTCACCTCCTTCTGCTCCACCTACAAATGTAGACCGTAAGCTCATATTCCGTTATTTGGACAAATCATGAATTCGAAAATATAAAATAATTAGTTAGGGTTTAATTATTTGATACGCATGCATGCAGCTTGCTTGTTGAATATCTGCGGGGACGGAACCTGTGTGAAAGATGGGTCTGATTTTAGGTGTGAGTGCAATGAAGGCTCAGCAAATTTACTTAACGATCCAAAGTTGCTTTGCTTTAAGAAATGTAAATGCTTAATTCCTTCTAATTAACCTCTTTTCATGGTTAGTATGAAAAATAATTAGATAAGTTAGTTGTAGTTAATAATTATGTTAAGGTTATTAATTTGCATGCAGGCACATTAGGAGGAGATTGTAATGGTCTTGGTCTAGGGTTCAGCTCACAGTCAACTGAAACTCCACAAACATCTGGGACTGCCTCTCTTCCTGCTGCAGGTACCTCCATTTCACTTACCTTTCTTCTTATCACTCTAAATATTAGTATAGTTTTTTCTTATCATGTCAAGTTTATAAAAATACAATAGTATTTCTTATCACGACTCTATATCCAATGCAAAAATAAAATTCTATTTTTTGGTTAAAAAATATAAATATTAAATTATTTGAATTAACAATTTTTAATTTATGAATAATTATTTTCTCTTATATTAATATATTAAGATTTTTTGTTAGATTAATTTAGTTTAATAATCGAGAAGTAAATAAAATTTGATTAATGATTATTTGAATCAAAGATTGAATTCATTATTAATAATTTGATAACAATATAATATGCCTAACATAAATAGTTATTTGAATAAATTCTAATATTATTTTAAAATTTAGATTTAGATTACATTTAATCCCATAAAATCGACTTGCGAGTTAAAAAAGTTGTTTCACATTTATTATTTAGTTTTAATGCGTGAAAAATATGATAACATGAATGTCCAACGTTATTATATTATACTCCTATCTCATACTTTTTTTTTATTTAAAAACTTTATAAAAATAAAATTCCTGGATTCATATGATGGAGAATGTGAGTTAATTGCATTTATTTTGTACATGACAGGGTCAGGTGAAACGGTGAGTGGCATAAAGGAGGTTCATATGGTAGCTATGACAATATTAGCACTAATATTTCAAATATGTAATTAAAAGGGAACATTCATCCAAGTTCGTAAACTTTCTCATGGAACACAAGAAGACATTTCCCAATAATAGAGACGGATTTTATTGCGATTTCCCTTTCCATATCATTTACATAGTTTATTATGCACAGCAGATAAATTATTAGAGGCATTTATATATGCATTTTAATATAATTAAATTTTACTGTAAATTTTTTGTTATTATATAATCATAATTTACCACATGAGATAAGTTTATTTACTTTCTTAATAATTACTTAAAACATATACAAAGATGATTTTTTTTATTGATTGCAAGAATAAAAATGTACCGGAAGGATCCTATCGGCCACGTGGTCCGGTACGTCATGTCCTATCATACATTGACGCAGCTCAGACACTACCTCGGCTCGGTAAGGGGCTGAGAACTCAGAGAACGCCCATTCTCTTATCGGCTCGGCCGTAGGCCGAAAGGTCTTCTCGGTCGCCCCTATCGGCTCGGCCAAGGACCAACAGAATAGTTATAACGATAATCATGATTAACAAGGGACAACATGTAATTAAAGCATAACCAGCCGATTAGCATCATATTACCTAATTTGGTAAGTGTCAGAGAAGGCCCACCATACCCAGGCCCATGACAGGTACTATAAATAAGTCACACGAAACGAGCTATGTCACTGTTCATTCGTGCTTGTCCTGACTTGAGCGTTGGAGTGCCTTTTATAGGTACCTCCCCCCTCTGAAGTATCAACCCGAAGCTCTCGTTCGGCCGTCCAGTTACTAGAAGATTACGAGTGTACCCTCAGACAAGTACATTTTGGCGCCCACCGTGGGGCCGAACCGATAGCTTTTGAAGAAGACGGACTGAGTACTATTTTGAAGAGATACATTATGGCAAAGACAAGGAGAACACACACTGAAGACCACCGATCCGAAGCGGACAATGTCGAGACGGTTGACGAGACCAATATGGTCGAGATGGTATGACAACTGAAGGAGGAAATGGCCGCCATGAAGCAACAACGAGAGAAAGACGCTTGTGAGATGGCTGCCTTGAGGGAAGAGAACGCCGCCTTGAAAAACCGAAACCAGGATCCCACGTGGAAACCTTCCGAGCCGACTCACACCCAGGGGTCGTTCCACTCCCACAGACATCACACTTCTCTCCCTCACACTTCTGCAGTCGCCCCGGGAAACCATGCCTCGACTGCCCAAGTAACCGGCCGACCCGCGTACGCTCCACCAACTGGAGCACACTGACACCCTTTCACCCCAAATATCATGCAATCCTCCCTCCTCGACCACTGGAAGTCCCTTCCGTTAGACAAGTATGACGGAACCACCGACCCCGACGAGCACGTCGACATTTTCCTCACCCAGGTCACTCTCAGCACCATTGACGACGCTGCCCTATGTCGCATTTTTCTAACATCTTTGAAGGGAAGAGCATTGAGTTGGTTCACTCGTCTCCCGGCCAACTCGATCGACTCTTTTAACACCCCAGCATCCCAGTTCACCATCCAGTTTGCCACCAGCCGGCCTCACCAACTAACCTCCCTCGCGCTGGTGAGCATAAGACAAGAGAAGAAGGAATCCCTTCGGACCTTCATGAGCCGATTCAACAAAGCGGCTCTTGAAATCCGAGACCTGAATCTGGCCGTCGCCCTTCATCATCTGACTACAGCTCTAAAGCCAGGACCGTTTGCTAACAATATCTGCAAGAAACCCCCGTCTGACATGGACGATTTGAGACGCCGCGCCGACAAATATATGCAGATGGAGGAACTTACGGAATTCCGCAATCAGGCCAGGGCGGAGGTAGCAGCCAAAGTCGAGAAGCCGGCCGAAAGCTCTTACCGAAGCCGCCCCAAGGACCTCGTCCCAAGAGACAAACCTATTCGCGGACCGAGGTACTCTCATTACACTCCGCTAAATACCAGCCGATCGGCTGTATTGGACCAAGCACTTGCTTCGGAGGTCCTGGCAGTAGCAAAACGAGCCTCGACCCCTCCGCGTGCCGACACAAGCAAGTCCTGTAAATATCATCGCAACCGGGGTCACTCGACTGAAGAATGCGCAGCTCTAAAAGACAAGATTGAGGACTTAATCAAGCAAGGGCAGCTCCAACGTTTTGTCGACCGACCTCGTTCTCCCCGATACGATGATCATCGGCACCATCGAGGTCAGCCTGACCAAGACCAAACCGACAGGCGTCCCTACCGGGAACGAAGCCGGTCGAGGGGCCGAAAGGAAGACGAGCCGACAACCCAACCCCGAAGGGTCATCAATAATATCACCGGCGGATTCGCAGGCGGAGGTTCCACCTCCTCAGCACAGAAAAGACATCTGCGAGCTGTCTGAACTGTCCACGCGATTGAACGCACCCGACAGAGATTGCCGGCCATCACATTCACTGAGGTCGACTTCAAGGGCATTAATCCTGACCAAGATGACCCCATGGTTATTAGTGTGGAAATTCACAACTGCATTGTTCGGAAGACATTTGTCGATCAGGGCAGTTCAACCGACATCCTCTATTGGAACACGTTCAAACAGCTCGATATCCCGGAGGCCGACTTGATTCCATACAACGAACCCTTAGTCAGATTCTCCGGTGAGCGTGTCCAAACCAGAGGATACATCAAGTTATCCACTCGATTCTGCTTTGACGGAGCCGAAACCTGAGACATCCCGGTCAAATACGTGGTTGTGCACGCCAACACGTCAAACAACATTCTTCTCGGTCGACCCTCCCGCAACAAGCTAGGTGCTATCGTGTCGACTCCACACTTAGCCATGAAGTTCCCATTAGAATCCGACCGGATCATCACGGTCCACGCCGATCAGAAAGCGGCCAGGGAGTGTTATTTTACTAGTCTTTGGCTACCCCGTCTTGAAATGACCGAGCCGCGTGGAGTGAAACGTGTACAGACGGTACGCAAGAGCTTGAAACGATTGTGGACCTCGACCCTCGAATGGAGCAGGACGAGAGGGTCGAGCCGATTGAAGACCGACAACCAATTGTTATCGTGCCAACCGACCTACATGTGACCTACCTGGGCTCTAACCTGTCCGAAACGGAAAAGCACGAAATCGGACAAGTCGTTAGGAAAAACAAAGATCTCTTCGCGTGGCGGCTGACCGATATGCCAGGTATCGACCCCAACTTTTTGTGCCAAAAACTCTTAGTGTGCCGAGAGGCGAAACCGTTCGCCCAACGAAAAAGAAAGATGGGAGAAGAAAGGAAAAAGGCAGTTGAAGCAAAGGTATCCAAGCTCTTGGAAGCGGGTTTTATTCGAGAAATCCAGTACACAACCTGGTTGGCCAACATTGTCATGGTCAAAAAGTCAAACGGCAAGTGGCGAATGTGCACCGATTACACAGACTTGAACAAGGCATGTCCCAAGGATGCCTACCTGTTGCCGAACATAGACCGATTGGTTGATGGCGCGGCCGGCCATAAGTTCTTGACCTTTCTCGATGCGTACTTGAGTTATAATCAAATCCGTATGCACCCCCGAGACGAAGACAAAACGACGTTCGTCACGGAATCCGCCAACTACTGTTACCAAGTGATGCCTTTCGACCTGAAGAATCTCGGGGCAACATATCAACAGCTCATAGACAAGATCTTCGGCGGCCAGATTGGGAAGAATATGGAAGTTTATGTAGATGACATGGTGGTCAAATTGGCCGACACACTTTCTCATGTAGCCGACCTGGCCGAAGTTTTCCATGCACTTCGGAAGCACCAGATGAGACTTAATCCGGATAAATGTGTGTTCGGCGTCTCGGGCGGCAAGTTCCTGGGTTTCATGCTATCAAGCCGGGGCATCGAGGCTAACCCAGACAAGTGTCAAGCCATTATTGACATGAGAAGCCCATCAAACCTGAAAGAGGTCCAAAAGTTAGCGGGCCGACTGACAGCGTTATCACGTTTCCTACCATGTATGGTCGAGACCTCCAAGCCAATACTTGGCCTCTTGAAAAAAACAAATCGGTTTCAATGGACAGAGGAGTGCGAAATAGCTTTTCAGCTATTTAAGAAATGGCTCGGTACCCCACATGTGCTGACCAAGCCGACCCCCGACTGAGAAGTAATACTGTACTTGGAAGTTTCGGGCGAGGCCATAAGCGCTGGCATGATACAAGAACAAGACGGCCAACAGCAACCCGTGTACTTCATCAGCCGAGTGCTTCAAGATGTCGAACGCCGATACCAACTGTTGGAAAAGGTAGCCCTGGGACTTATATACGCGGCTAGGCGCCTTCGGAAGTACTTCCAGAGTCACATAGTGGTGGTCCGAACTGATTGCCCGATCGCCAAAGTGCTGCGAAAACTAGAACTAGCCGGCCGAATGATGGCATGGTCAATCGGGCTATCCGAGTTTGACATCCGTTTTGAACCTCGGGGGGCCATCAAAGCATAAAGCCTAGCCGACTTCATCAACGAATTATCACCACGCGGCCACTTTGAAGACAACACTTGGACAATGCGGGTAGATGGCTCCTCCAACGGCCAAGGTAGCGGTGTCGGCATCATCTTGGAAAGCCCGTCTAGCATCACCTTAGAACAATCAATGTGTTTCGGCTTTCAAGCATCTAATAACCAAGTCGAGTACGAAGCTTTATTGGTCGGAATGCGCTTGGCAGCCGAAATAGGGGCTAGAAAAGTCACATGTTAGACCGATTCGAAGGTTGTCACCGAGCAAGTAAACACAAATTTCAAGTGAAAGATCCTAATCTGCTCAAGTACTACCACCTTTTCCGGGGAATGAGCAACCAGTTCGAAGAGATACAAGTTAGGCACACGCCGCGCGGGAATAATGAGAGAGCCAACCAGTTAGCGAGGCTAGCAAGTAGTCGCAAGTCGGGACAACTTTGGTCAACAATACACTTGGAGTTGCCCACCCCAAGCGTTGCACAAGTATGTATGCCGGCAGATGAAGTTCCACAAACATGGATGACCGATATCTGGAATTTCATTATTAACGGCTCAGAACCGGCCGATCCGATTGAAGCTAAGAAGATCCGAACCCAAGCGGCACGCTACTCCGTGGTGGCCAGAGAGTTATACCGACGAGGTTTCTCCACACCCTTGTTGAAATGCATCGACCAGCAGCAAGCCGACTACGTCATACGTGAAATTCACGAGGGAATCTGCGGATCCCACTCAGGTGGAAGAACACTAGCTGCTAAAGTGCTGAGGGCCGGCTATTATTGGCCGACCCTGAAAACCGATTGTGCCGAGTATGTGAAGAAATGCAAGCAATGCCAATTACACGGCAACCTAATACATGCCTCGACCGAGCCGCTTCACGCGGTTAGTGCCCCTTGGTCGTTTGCTCTATGGGGTATCGACATTCTCGGCCCATTCCCACTCGCCAAAGGCCAATGCAAATTCTTGGTAGTAGCTGTCGACTATTTTACCATGTGGATAGAAGCCGAACTGCTTGCAACTATAACGGCCGCCAATGTCTAGAAATTCGTATGGAAAAATATCATCACCCGGTTCGGCATCCCATACGCAATCATATCCGATAATGGGCTTCAATTTATAGATAAGAAATTCAACAACTTCCTCGAAAACCTCGGCATCCGACACCGGTTCACGTCTGTCGAACACCCACAGTCCAATTGTCAGGCCAAAGCCGCTAACAAGGTTGCCCTAACCGAGTTGAAGAAACGGCTCGGCACGGCCAAAGGAGCCTAGGCCGAAGAGCCCCCCGAAGTTCTCTGGGCATACAGATGCACGCCCCAATCAAGCACAAGAGAGATTTCGTTTTGATTGGCATACGGCATGGATGCTATGATACAGGTTGAAGTGGGCGAACCTTCATTCCGACGGAAGCACTTCCACGAAGAGTCTAACGATGGCGTGATCCGAGCTGAGCTGGACGTCTTAGATGAAGTTCGAGAGAAAGCACAAATCGTAGCCGAGGCGTGTAAACAGAGAATGACTCGGCGAGTTAACTCCAAGTTGAAGCGGAGGAACTTCCAAGAAGGTGATCTCGTTTGGAGGGCAACTGGTTCGGCACGGCGCAACCCGATTGAAGGAAAGTTGGCAGCAAATTGGGATGGCCCACTCCGGGTCCGACACGCTCTCAATAACGGCGCGTACAAATTAGAAGAGTTATCTGGCAAGGTCATCCCTCGGACATGGAATTCTACCCATCTGAAGACCTATTACAGTTAGAATTTAACTCATGTACATGTGTAAATGTCTTACGATGCACTCTTTTCCTTAAACCGGTCTTTTTTCCTCTTAAAAAATTGTGAAAAGAGGTTTTTGGCCGGCAAGGTTTTTAACGAGGCATCCATTCATCAATGACAATACAGTTCAGCTATCTATGACTCGTTTTACATTTCTGCAAAAAATTTTAAGTCTTCCCTCCCGAGATGTCTCTCGGCCAAGGATGTGACTTCATTTTATACAAGTCTTCCCTCCTGAGATGTCTCTCGGCCAAGGATGTGACTTTAATTTATACAAGTCTTCCCTCCCGAGACATCTCTCGGCCAAGGATGTGACTTTTATTTCAATTATTAAGTCTTCCCTCCCGAGATGTCTCTCGGCCAAGGATGTGACTTATTTCATTATTTTACAAGTCTTCCCTCCCGAGACGTATCTCGGCCAAGGATGTGACTTTTACTTCAATTAATAAGTTTTCCCTCCCGAGATGTCTCTCGGCCAAGGATGCGACGCGTTATCAACCTAGCTTCTGAAAATACACTCGGCGCGACTTAGTTCACTATGTTAATATTATCAGAGTACGCAATACATTCGACAGAAATAAGAAACTTGCATTAAAATGGGCACTATCGGCCCGGAAAGTACAAAATCATTAAGGCTCTATCGGCCCATGCATACACATTCAAAAAAGTTAAAAGAAAACAAGACTATGCCTCGGTCTCCCCCTGCACCGGCGCCTCTTCCTCGGCATCTTCTTCCTCGGCCACCGTTTCCACGCCACCGGTCGGCTCGGCCGGGCGACGAGCTGGTGCTTCGGCATCTAGCTGCTCATTTGGAGGAATTTGCGTCAAGTTGATGTATTTCCCCCGATAGAAGTCCATCGACATATTGAACTGAAAGTCCGACGGGAGACTTCCGAAATGTTGGGCCTGACGCGCCACTTGAGCAAAGCCGACTTCGTGCTGAGAGAGAACCTTGCTTCTAGCCCTCTCTCTATAGGCGTCGAAAGCCTTCTTCTCGGCCTCTAGATCCCCAGCCAGCTTGGCCGACTTCTCAGACTCGGCCTTCAGAGAGTTCTCTAGTCGTTGTACCTTCAAAGCAAGGTCATCGTTCAGACGACCTCGACGGTCCAGCTCAGCTTCGCATTGTTTGTCGTGTCCCTGTGCCTCGG